GGTATTTTGTGGAAGAGCCACACTCAAGGGGCCAAAGAGCCGCATGTGACTCGAGAGCCGCGGTTTGCCGACCACTGGTTTAGTGGATGAGATAAAACTCCCCTTTTGTCCCTTTTCCCCCCTTTCCTGCCCTAACATCCCCCAAGTAATACCACCTAAATGCTTTGGGGGTTTTGTTGTTTGTCCCCCAGATTTTATCTGTCTTTGGGTTTAGCTGGCACAAATGGCATTAATTGGGCCTTGGCTCTCTGTTTTCCCATGCCAAGGTGATTTAAGCTATGTATTCTCTGGTTAGGGAGGAAAGGTATAAACCGTTTGCTCTCAAGTATCCTTGGTTGGGGAAGATAAGGTCTTGTGTTTCACAAGCTGGCTGCAAGCTACCCAACGGCTTGGCCTTGCTTAATTTTCTTGTTTCAGTATCCCCATTCCACTTGCTCAGAAATTTTCCTAGCTTCTTACTCTCCTGCCATAGATGGAGTAAAGGGCAATCTGGTCCTCTTGGAATTGCCTGCCTAGAATAGAGCTGGGGCTAGTGGGGAGGGAAGGATAACAAATGCTGGCAGCCTGCCCCTTCTGGGATAAAACTGTAGCTTCAGACTGGGAGCTGGGGAGCTGGGGAGCTGGGGAGCTGGGGAGCTGGGGAGCTGGGGAGAAAGGGAGCTCCCATCTCCTTGGCCATACCTGCCCAGATTAAAGAACACCAGGTAGAATTTTATAACATGAGAATGGTGACAGAACAAGTAGTGACTGAAACACCAGCCTCCCCTAAATCTACCAAGATTTAGTAGATTTTCTTGAATGTATGCTTCTCCATTTGTTTTATACCCAGAGAACAATTTCCAGAGACTTTAAATAAATTTTTTATAATTTTCATCAGTTCAATTGTTGCATAGGGTCCACTTATCTCCTTACTTGCCATCCCCTTTATTATGATATTTTTGCATTACTGAAATTTCTAACACTGGAAACTTTCGAGACAAAAGCATTATAGACTCAGAAACAACCCCTTTGAAGATTTCAAAATTCTTGTTTATAAGGCAGAAGTTGAAAAAAAAGAAAAGGCCTAAGGGTGATGATGCCTTCAGGCAGGTGCCAAAAGAAAAGTGAAGTCTTTAAGAATAACAATAAGAGTTTCAGATTGTGCTGATAATGTACTCAGGACAGTGATGATTGCAAGTTGACCAGGGGGTAGGGCTACTCTCAGATCTGTTTCTGAGGAGGACCTGCAAGTTCACTAGTAGTAAATAGCAGCCAAAAAGTTTGCTTTTTGTTTGTTTGTTTGTTTTTTTGTTTTATGGAACCCAGGTTAAAATAAAACCCAAGATCACTCAGTACTATGATATAACCAATAGATCTTGGTGCTTATCCTCTGCCTAGTCTCTGGGGAAAGGATAAGTTTTTAGAGGGAAGAGGAGGGGAAAATGGAGGAGAACAAGAAAGGAGGGTGCTGGGTTGGTAGGCAAAGCTGTCTCTGGAAGCAAGGAGTGGGAGAGTTCTTGTTTCTATAGTATTTATCTGACATTTAGTGTCCCCTTAAACTGGGAGGGGACAAATGCCATGGGGGTGGGGACTGCTAGACAGGTAGCACCAATGGATAAGCATCAATTATCTGGTCAGCCAGCTGCTAAGTTTCAGTGATGTTATTAATTTTAGAATAAAGCAGTACTTCCATTGACACTTTTTGTCCTACATAGATTATGGCTGGATTTAGGTATAGAATTGGCTTTCTAGGGCTTAAACAACAGAAGTATTGTTATGCCCAGAGTTCAGGGTCCCCAATAATCCACCACCAGGGAGCCTCTTCCGATGCAAAAGCAAGGAGTCTTTATTAATCAATCCTAGGATTGGCTCCCAGCCTCTGTCCAACGCAGCGGTAAGGCGAGAAACCGTGTCCCAGGAGAACAAAGGTTATAAAGGGCTAGTTATTTGGGTGGGCTTAGGGGGTGATGTGGGTTACAGAGATTGGTCATTTCGGTCAGGGTTTTTCATCAGGGTCTTACAGCACAAAGGTCAGGAAGTGACCAGCACATTCTGAGGCTTGGGCCGTCCCCCACTATAGCCTTATCAGGACCTTAGCTGCATTCCTGGAGCTTCATTGGTCCACTCAGGTGGTGGTTGGGGGACTTAGGTCAATACCGGCATTCTTGTGGTCACTCAGAAAAGGAGGGGGCTTGGGCTGAGGGCCCAGCCCTACAAGGCAAGATAGGGGAGAGGGAGGGGAGTATGTTTCTGCTTTGTCCTTTCAGTATATTCTCTCACAGTCTGGAAGCTGGAAGTCCAAGATCAAGGTGTTGGCAGGTTTAGTTTCTCCTGAGACCTCTCTCCTTGCTTGCAGATGGTCACTTCCTTACTATGTCTTCCAATAGCCTTTCCTCTGTGTGTAAGTAACCTGATATCTCATACTCTTCCTTTAAGGACACTGGTCATAGTGGATTAGGCTTGTACCCTTATGACCTCAATTAACTAATTACCTCTTTAAAGACCTCAAAATAGCCCTAACTGATTTGGCTCAGTGGATAGAGCATAGGCCTGCAGATTGGAGGGTCCCAGGTTTGATTCCAGTCAAGGGCATTACCTTGGTTGTTGGCACACCCCCAGTGGGAGGTGTGCAGGAGGCAGCTGATTGATGTTTCTAACTCTCTATTCCTCTCCCTTCCAATCTGTAAAAAGTCAATAAAATATATTTTTTTAAAAAATAAAGACCTCAAAATAGAGTCACATTGGGGGTTAGGATTTTCAGATATGAATCTGGAGACAATTCATTTCACAACAGGTATTATGTATACAAATGTCAGGAAAAGTTTGAATAACTTTAGAATGACAAAAAAGAGAGGAAAGAAATTGGGGTTCTGCCTAGCTCAACCTTTGGTTGTCTTTGACTAGCCTACTTAGAACTGCAAGGTGTAATGAAAAAGTTCCCTCTCAAAAGTTATGCAAATGATTCCTTTTTGTACAAAAGCAGGTAGCTTTTGTCCAAAAGAGAATATAAATATCTGTAAGTTAAATTATCCTTTAACTAACTGTAACATCTACTGGCCACCTCATAAATTAATGAGTTAAATAAAATATTTGACATACTCATTTTATAATTGTATGAAAATCATGATTTTACCTTTTAACAAATATGATCCTTTAACACTAATATTGAGGGTTATTTAGACAATATTATTACTGCTGTCCCAATTTTTCTGTCCTTCAGTGTGTTTTTCTTCCCTTTTCTAACTTTTCTTCTCTCTTCACTGAACTTAAACTCCACGGTTAGAAATGGAAATTAGCAGGTACACCGAACATTGATGATGGACAAGGAAACAACGAAGGCCACTATCAGAATTCTGTCATATTTCAATAAGGAGTCATGTTACTGAAGCTTTTCATGTCATAGACCAATGATACACACCCACACCCTACTCCAGTGATGGCGAAGTTATGACACGCGTGTCAGAGGTGACACACGAACTCATTTTCTTTGGTTGATTTTTCTTTGTTAAATGGCATTTAAATATATAAAATAAATATCAAAAATATAAATCTTTGTTTTACTATGGTTGCAAATATAAAAAAATTTCTATATGTGACATGGCACCAGAGTTAAGTTAGGGTTTTTCAAATGTCTGGCACGCTGAGCTCAAAAGGTTCGCCATCACTGCCCTACTCTATCAGAAAAAAAGGTACATATATATTTAAATTTATTTTGTAGAATTTAAAATCTTTGTTCTAGATCTTTCAAAGTTCCTGTTTAAGTATTAAAATTAAAAATTTATATAGTTAGCCCTGGCTAGCATTGCCCAGTGGTTAGAGTGTCAGCCCACGCACCAAAGAGTTGTGGGCTCAATTCCCAGTCAAGGGCAAGTACCTGGCTTGCAGGTTCGATACCCTGTCTCAGTTGGGGTGCATGTGGGAGGCAACCAATTAATGTGTCTCTCACATCAATGTTTCTCTCTCCCTTACCCCCTCCCTTCCACTCTATAAAAAAAAAAAAAATCAATGGAAAAAATATCCTTGGGTGAGGATTAACAAAAAAACACCCCCCCCAAAAAAAAAAAATTTAAATAGATAAGATAGTTTAATTAACTGGAAAAAGTTTAAAAAATATATTTAATTTGAAGTTATCATAAATTTCTCAACCAGTCTTAAATAATGACATAGTTTTTTTTTCTTTTTAAATCTTAAAAATGTCTATGCCTTGTCTTGAAACACTTTTTTTCTTGATTTCCTTAGCCAACAATTCAGTGATCATAAGCATTCAAGCAACATGAAGTATTTAATCAACACTTGCATAAATGCATCAAAAAGCACTGCGTAAGCAGAGATAACTTTCAGCAAATATGTACTATTCTTATAAGCCATTTGTTTGAAAGTGGGTTAGTTCCAGGATATAGTGTAAAATAGTTTTAACCTTATGTGACAGCAACTTACCTCCATCTCTTACCAAGGTGAACCTGTACCAAACATATTTAACATCACAAATGTTTGCTACATTTTTAATGTAGAATGAATCTTTAGGAAGAGAAATCAGATAGAGTAAATAACCTACTACATTAGATTATCCAAAGTCATCTTTACTCTTTTCCAACTGTACAAACAAATTAATTTGCTTTCTTGCCTTGGCATTTATGAATGCAAATTTAATCACCTAAATTTAGACTTCCTGGGAGACAATTTGAAACCACATTGTGAACATGACTTTCACATAAGGTTTGTTCCTTTTTCCTGAATTAGAAAGTGAAATTAAAAAAAAAAAAATCTATGCTGTATTAGACCCTAGGCAAAATCAACAGAGCTCTGCCATCTCCCGTTAAGTTGATTCGGGGCTCTGGGGAACCATGTCACCATCTGGGCTGGAGTGCATATGGTCAGAGGGAGGCCTGGGAGAGTGTCCTCAAAAAGACCCCAGCTGGCTGAGCAGCCACCTGTTACCAAGATGAGCGAGGGCACAATATATCGTATTCCTCATAATCCATCTGTTTCTAGTCTCTGAATATTCAATTCTGTCATGGCAGGGTACACCGACAACAGGAGAGGACTGGCTCAGAGAGGACAAGACTACAAATCCTGCTAAACAGAAGACATCTACAAGTTCCGCATGATGAGAGACAAGGAGGCTGGTTTGCAAAGGTCAAAGGAGGCAGAGGTAGCAAGCCTGGAGAAGCAGAAAGCCCAGGAGCTCAAAGAAGTCCTAAGAGCAGCACTGACGAGCTGTGTTGAAGACTCAAATGGCAGCTGAAAACAAGTGTCTCTGAATCCAGAGACGCTGATTGTGGTTCCAAAACAGATACTTTGAGATTAATTCAACTCCTGATTAAAGCAAACATATAGAATCTAGGATGGATTTATAGGCTCAATGGCAAATATAATAATTAGCAATAGCCAATACTTACATAGCATCTAATAAGTACTTGGCATAATTTAACCAACTCAGTCTTCACCATAACTCTGCGAGGCAGAAACTATTAGTATTCTCTATGTGGAGATGAGAGAAACTAGGTGCAGACGACCTGAGTAACTTGCCCAAGTCACCTAAGTGGTAGAGCTGGAGGTGAAGCCCAGCGGTCTGTAGCCTTCACCACTGCATGCCTCTCTCACTCCCTCTCAGCTCGCCGTCTTCATTTTTATTCTATATCCCCCTTTCCCCATTCCACCCCTTCACCCTGATTTTCCCTTCCTATACATCATGAATGTCAGCTTGGTCATTTATGGTGGAACCTGAGCCAATGATAGCCAATATGTGGGACTTACTCTGCTCCTCCTCCACCCAATTAGCTTGAGTTGAAATGAGGAAGATTTGACCTAGCCAGTTCGGCTGTGAGTAGAGTGTCAGCCCACAGGCTGAGGGGTCTTAGGTTCAAATCTGATCAAGGGCATGTACCTCAGTTGCAGGCTCAATCTCTGGTCCTGGTCAGGGCATGTAGGAGGCAATCAATCAATGTGTGTATCTCTCTCTGCCTCTACCCTTCCCTTCTACTTTCTCTAAAAATATCAATTGGAAAATATCCTCATGTGAGGATTACAAAAAATAAAGAAGAGAGAGAGGGAGAGAAAGAGAAAGAAAGAAAAAAAGAAAGAAAGGAAGGAAGGAAGGAAGGAAGGAAGGAAGGAAGGAAGGAAGGAAGGAAGGAAGGAAGGAAGGAAGGAAGAAGAATTCTTGCTTTTTGGCTGTAGAAGTTTGGCTTTTGAATGTCTGAACTGTGTGTGTGTGTGTGTGTGTGTGTGTGTGTGTGTGTGTGTGTGTGTGTGTAAAGGGCAGGAAGAAGGATCTAGAAGGTGGAAAACAGCTGAAGGTTGAAGGTGGAAGCTAGCAGAGTTGTGTTTAGGAGGAACTCGCTGAGACCTGTGGTTTATACAGGCTGAGGGGAGCCCATGTGATAAAATGTGGAACAGTTGGGGAAAGGGCAGCAGAAGGGACTGAGGCACTCAGCACAGCATCAGTAAGTGACAGTGGTGAGATGCCTCCTCCTGTGACTCGCAGGGAGCAGACATCAAAGAGACAAAAGCAAATTAATGGCTTTGTTCTTCAGGTCTCCTGAGAACTCCCCCAGAGATGCCTAGAAATAGACAGGGGAGATTTTGAAAGGCAGCAGGAGAAAGTTGAAACCCCACAGTCGTGCAGGTAAACAACACCAAGCAGCAAAATGCAGGTGTTTATGTCACCATGACCTCCTTGTTTGCAGAGGCTGGCGAGGCCTGGGGACATCTTAGCTGCTGCATTCGCAGGACTAGGAAAGAGCAAGAGCAATGCAATATAAACCAGCCCTTCAAGCATGTCGAGCACAGCCACCGACGCAATCTACTAAGAAAGGGCAACTCGACATTTTTTTCAGAATAGTTTATACTCTACAAGGCCTTCCCTCTTGAGGTTTTATTTTTATAATCATTTTTTAGAAATTGAATTTTAACCATATATTAAAGTGATTGTCCCTTTGTTACTGACTCTGTCTCACAGCGTGCAAATGTTTGTGCCTTTCTCCCACCAGCGCTGACATTTGGTGCTCAAACTTGTCCCTCTGGATGTGGTTCAATTCAAATCCTAAGAAAATTAACTGCTAGCTTTTAACTATCCCATTGAGCTTGGGCCTTCTCAGGTTGCCTAAAGTCAGATTCCAAGGACCAGGGGACATGAAGGGTAAAAATCAGAATAAACACTTTTGATCTAAGCTAATGTGACTGGACCATATGTAATAGCCCTGCAGTCCTTCTCCTATTTTCTATTTTGTACATATCTTTTTTGGTCATCAGATGTAGCAGAAAATTGTAGGGGGGGAAACAGCCTTTTAAAAATGCTCAAAAGGATGAAGTATGAGCAGATGTCCAAGAGAAAGATAAAATAACATTGCGAGTAAAATGCAGAGATTTATTGACACACTTTAGCAAGCTGTAATAGGAAATGTTGGGGACCTTAGAGTACAGCACTAAAAGAGAAAAGGTAAAAAGTCATATTTTTATCTCATTGTATTCAATAAATCATGTCATTCCACTCGCTTCCAAGAAGTTTGTTCACTTACTATAAATTGTACTTAGTTGTCAAGCCCTGTTCATTATACGCAAAATACTTTCTCCTACATTTTTTACTATACGTAGATAAGCATATTACATATAATAAGCATATAGGTATTAATAGATAGCATATCATACTTTATTTTAAAATAAAGCTATTAATATAACATATTCACTTCGTTTTTTAAATTTTCATTTGGAACAGTAATAGAATAACTACATGCATAAGTCAGTTATTCCATAAGAAAGCAATAATATTAAAACATAGTTCATGTAGTTCTATTTTAAAATATAGAGGATACGGTTGGTGTTAGAAAAAAAAAGGTCAACTCTTTCTATACATGCTGGCAGAATATCATTTACCTGGTAACATGAATTAAATTAGAAATTAAATTAGAAATTAAATTAGCACTGAGCACCAACTATGAATTTGGCACTTTGAGTATAGAAATCTAGAACTCAAGGAGGGCTCAAGTCAGAGATAAATATGACAATTTTCTTAATATACATACTATTTATTTATTTTACTTTTTATTATTGACAGTATTACATATGCCTCCCATTTCCTCCCCTCCACCCAGACTCCACCCCACCCCAGGCCTTCACCACATCATTGTCTGTGTCCATGGGCTGTGCTTATGTGCGTATATGTTCTTTGGTTATACTATTTAAAGGCAAAGCAATGGGTGAAATTACCCAGATGAAAGTCAATATAAAGAAGATAGGCAAGAACAGAGCCTCGGAGTACTCCAATATTTAGAAGGAAAGAAGCTGAGAAGCCATCAAAGGAGACTGAGAAAAAAATAAAAATAAAAAACAGGAAAGTGTACTGCAAGGAAGGCAAGGAGAAAGTGTTTCACGAAAGAGAAATTAATCAACTGATTCATGCTCCTGAGAGGTAAAGTGAGATGGATGGAGAGAGTTAACCACTGCATTTCGTAAGATGAAAGCCATTGTGTCAAATGACTGAGGAAGCCTAAATCAGCTGTTGGGGGAAGAGGGTTAGCTTTGCTTAAGAGTAGATCTGCGGCTCCACCAGTGACAGGGGAAGGACAAGGACAGAAGATACAGGTAACATTGTCACTGAAAAAGAGTCAAACAGAAGATATACAGTAAGTGGACATTAAAGTAAAGGCTGTAGATTATGAGAGATATTTGGAGGGAAGTGGTATATTCAGAACTGCATGCTAGATTGGCTCGGCTGAAACAGAACTGGAGAGAGGGAGTTGTCCCGGCAACAGATGGCAATGGCTTCAGTATCAAAAAGTCCGAGTTTTTACAGGAGGAAGATGGCACATTCACATTGAGATAACTCTAGGAGGGTTTCTTTAGAAAGAAATTCATTTTCACAATCTGAATGGGGTTAGGGAACCACAATGGATAGCGCAGAAATCTGGAACTAAAAGCTGTAAAGCTAAAACCAACGTCCTGCCCTAGCCGGTTTGGCTCAGTGGATAGAGCATCAGCCTGTGGACTGAAGGGTCCCGGGTTCCATTCCGGTCAAGGTCATGCCCCTCAGTAGCAGACTCAATCCCCAGTTCTGGTCAGGGTGCGTGCGGGAGGCAACCAATCAATGTATCTCTCTCACATCAATGTTTCTTTCTCTCTGCCTCTCCCTTCCACTCTGTCAAAAAGTCAACGGGACAATATCCTCTGGTGAGGATTAATAAAAATAAAAAAATAAAACCAACCTCCCTCCCCCTCAGACTCAAGGGAAGATGGGAAAGATAGAGTACAAAATTCAGAAAGGAAGCTGGAGAAAGCAACTCCCATAGGAGAAACAGGGAAATATTTGACTTCTTAAACTCTATTAATTATTCTTATAAAAAAATTAAAAGAAGTTTTGTTGAGATATTACATGTGCCAGAGACTGTATTAAGTTTACAATATTAAACTTCTCATCGACTCTATGAAATGGATACTCCCTGAGGAAACCTAGGGACTAAGTACCTTGACCCCACTCTCCTTCCTCCGTCAGAACTGTCAAGGCTCCCCATTGGCCACAACCACAGTTAATCAAGAACAAGGTATCCCACTCACAGAAAGAGAAGAGTCTTAGCACCGAAGAAACAAGCAGAACCTGGGCACACACGAGACTTAAGCCTACCATAGAGATAAAGGTAAATTAAAATCCAAATCTAGTTGCAGCCCTCTCACCAAGCATCTGTCATGATGAATTACCTCCCCACATAGGTTGCTTGCGGAAGGAGGCAGCACTGTGAGGCCAATGCAAATATCTGCTCCTCTTAGCATTTGATATCCTCACTCAAAATTAATGAGAATGTCCCAGGGTTGTCACAAATGGAAACTTCATGAACTGTTGGTAATTTCTTACTGAAGATTCGTAATAGCTTGCAGTTTTGTGATTCTAACACAAGTGATTGGAGGTAGTTGTCATATAAGCAAAGACAAAGACTAGAGGAAGTTTGAATTCATTTTCAATATTTAAAAAAATAAACAGAGACCTGGTAACACGAGGGCAAGATTGTTATTGTGTGCCAATAATCAGCGGGAGGTGAGTAGTGCTTCTCCCTTTAATGGTGCACGCTGATCCCAGCTGACTCCCATCCCAGCATATCTGCTCTGTTAGACTTTCTCACTCCTACAAGTATTTGAGGAGCTCTCTCTTGT